CCTAACCAGGCTGTTCGACTTGAGAATGTAAAGGAATGGCCCTAACCAGGTTGTTTGACTTGAGAATGGAAAGGAATGGCCCTAACCAGGCTGTTAGACTTGAAAATGGAAAAGAACGACCCTAACCAGGTTGTTCGGGAATGGCCCCTGACAAGGGTCATTCCTTTTGAAATAGGCACTGGGGTTCCCAGCATAACGGATTGAGAAAGGTTGATTCAGAAAGGATGATTGAGAATGAGCTGGAATTAGTAATGAAAAAGTCGGTGAGTCGGTCATTGAAATAACCAATGGGATGGATGAAAGAGATGGAAAAGGCCGCTGGGTCAGTCATTGAAATAGCCAAGAGGATGGATGAAAGAGAATGAGAAGGGCAGAATAAAGAAGGTCGATCCTTAAAGTCAAGAAGGGCAAGGGACCATTGGGACGGTCACAAGAATTCGGTATTGAGAGATGGGAAGAGTTGAGGATTGAATGGGTCGAAGGGTCAGCCTTGAGAAATGGCTATTGAAAGAACGACAACCAGATCAGTCATGTGAGTGGCCTTGTTGATGAGAGGCTGCCGGACCAGCCATGAGAATCAGCCTTGGAAACAGCAGCGGATTGAATGACTGAGAATTGGATATTGCATTGCATAGTCAGGGGACCCTTGGCAACTTGATGTAAGGTCGCCAGGCCGACCATGGAAATAGTAAAAGATTGAGCTTTCCTTTTTTTCTAGTCTCAGGTCTCAACATTAGAGGGATAGCAATGCCTGCATCGCGACCCCAAGACCTCTACCCGTTAAGGGAAAAGTCTCAGCACGACCTATTCCTCATGAGGGAAAATAAGGGTTGAAGGACCAAAGCACCTCTCTCTTTGATTGATGCTAGCCGTCCGGAACTAACCCCGACAACGAGCTCTAGTCGGGGAGTTCAAACCGCGCCTCATGTTGAGAACCTAAACGTCAAGGGCGTGGAGCCAAACGGGCGAGAGAGCCATTCGTTTTCCTAAGTCTCATTTTTTCTCCCCAACCACACGCCATGCCGTAGAGGGGCGGCACGGCCGTTTGGAATGGACCACCGCCCCTCGCATTAAATTGAGCAGCATTGTCCAGAGGGAGGAATCGGGCGTGGTACCGGGTGTAAGCCGCAACCACCACAGAGCGAGTGACACCGCCCTGCCGGATCATTACCACCGTTCCGGGACTAACCGCGAGGTCTTCGTAACTGCACTCGCAGACTAATAGAGAGCCCCAAATCTCTTGAAAGGAAGAAGTCGGATCCAAGAAAACACCGCTCGGGAGGAACGATTCACGAGAAGGCACTTACGGCAAGACGGGGGCCTGGGAGGCTTGGATTGGACCTACCTTCCAGATGTGGGGTGGTACCTCAGTGAGGACGCTCGTCTCGTAAGCGGCAAAAGGTCGGACTCGAGTAGGGGATGAGGTGAGTTATCAGCAGGGGGAGGACTGATCACCCTTCCTTTTTGGGGTTGATGGGCCGGCATCCGTCTACTCAGTTGGTGGGCCAAGGTCTGCATACCTCCGAGTGAGAACTAGTCGTGCGATGGGGACATCGCATTTTGAGTGGGGGGAAGGTGTGTCATCTACCGATGAAAAAGTGTGCAAAAGGGAAGGTTACCATGAGCGCAAGAAACAGTGTAATTGACTTTGCGCATGCGTGAGAAAAAGTCTGGCAAGATGTCCAAAAAAGAATGGATGAATAATTGACTTTGCCCAGGCTTGAGAAAAAGTCTGGCAAGATGTCAAGAAGAAGAATGAATGAGTAATTGACTTTGCGCAGGCTTGAGAAAAAGTCTGGCAAGATGTCCAGAAGAGAACGGATGAGTATTTGACTTTGCATGGGCTTGAGAAAAGGTCTGGCAAAATGTCCAGAAGAAAAACGGATGAATATTTGACTTTGCATGGGCTTGAGAAAAGGTCTGGCGAGATATCCAGGAGAGAAATGGACGAGTATTTGACTTAGCATGGGCTTGAGAGAAGGTCTGAAAAGATGTTCAGAAAAGAAAGATATGTGTAATTGGCTTTAAGTAGGCCTAAGAAAAAGTCTAGCAAGACGCCCAGAAAAGAGATACAGGTATAATGGACTTTGCATAAGTATGAGAGAGGTATTGCAAGAGGCCAGAAGAAAGATGTGAATAAGAGGGACTGAGTAACCAGTATTTTAAAGCTTGGAAACAAGAAAGGACGAATGAGGGTGACACATGTGTGAAATTGGCAGGGCTAGAAAAAGCTGTGCAAAATGACATAGGAAAAATACATGAGAACTAGCTAAGCATGAGACTGAGGAAAGAATGACGGGAAAACATGAATTGCACGGGCCGAAAAAGTAGACTATTTTTTTTTATGACTCTAAGAGTAATGAATGAGACGAAACCAAAATGGTTTCTGCCCAAGAATGTTTTCTCAATGAAATGGGAAGATAAATTTGAGATTACGAAGCACTTAGGGGGAGTTATGTCTCGGTTCGGTGATTCGAAGTGGGTATCACCACAGCAAACGCGGCGGTTGTATTGAACGAACATCCCCCTTCCGGAGCAAATGCCTGACATTGAGTCACATCCGAAAACTTGCCTACAATTTGTTATCGACAATGCTAAGGCATAAAATGAGAAAACCAATTGTGTTATGACAACAAATTGTCATCTTGGGAATAAAGTCAGCATGCCAGTAGTTAAGTGCATGAAGCAATGAGAGCCTCGTCTGCTTCATGTTACTAAAGTCGAAAAAATTATGGGCTGCCCTGCTGGGTATACAGAGTTGACTGAAGAGGAAGTTTGCATCTCGATTGAGGGAAAGATAAAGAGGCAGAGCTATGACGGAAATGAGCAACCAGGTCTAAGCTGTAGAAAGCCCGAAGAAGAACCTTTGACTCCCCCATACCCTCCTCCACCCCAAGGTGCGGAAGCTAGGGAAAACTTTAAAAAAGGAATGGGAAAAGAACAAAACGGACCCTGGCAAACTAACCATCCATAACATCTCATCTCCCTCTCTCATCTCTTCCTCTAAAACTCACTAACAAGAGATTGGTGCGCAATGAGGACATCGTGAAAGGGGGGGGGGAATGTGTCGGGACTGGTGAGTCCCGAATAACTTCCCATCACTCAAGAGACCGAATATGGACAATCTGTGCACAATAGAGAAATCTAGAGTGAGACGGCAGAAGAAAAAAAAGATAAAGGATTAGGTCGCAAGAGGGAGTAATGCCCTGGGGCGAGAACCACAGGGGGAAAGAAC